TGGTCCCAGTACCGACCCTTGAGGGGCTCCAGTAGATACGGGCCTCCAACTAGACTCTACCCCACTGACCACAACTCTCTGGCTTCTTCCCATCAGCCAGTTCACAGTCCATCTCACTACGTGATCATCCAGACCACACTTCCTCAGTTTGGCTACAAGGATGCTGTAGGAGATGGTATCAAATCCTTTGCTGAAATCAAGATAAACCACATCCACTGCTCTACCATCATCTATTCACCTGGTTATGTCCTCAAAGAAGGCTATCAGGTTGATTAAACATGACTTCCCCTTGCTAAAAACATGTTGACTGCTCCTAATGACCCTCTCATCCTTGATATGCCTTGAGATTGCACTGAGGATAAGCTGTTCCATCACCTTCCCAGGGATGGAGGAGAGGCTGACCGGTCTATAGTCACCCAGATGATGCTTATCTGCTTTTCATAATTGTTTGGGTTAGGTAGAACAGATGGTTAGTGGCTTCATCTGAGACCTTGGTTAGTGCCATTTTGTGCTGTGTATATTCATCTGGTGGTGAGTGTGGTCATAATCAAACACTGTCCCACTTGTCTTCTCCATGCTCCAGATCTGACTTGCTATTTCAGAGAATGGAGATAGGCTGACTAACATTAGATTACATTCCTGAATGTCACCTGGAGCAGATCTGTGTTAGCAGGACCAGTTGTGCAGGCATCTCCTTCCCCCTGATTCCTGAAGGTCTCAGATTTGGGCAGGAATCAGGCTCAGAACCAGAGAGTTTTTTCTGTCACAGGCAGCCTGTTCTTACCTTAACTGCTTTCCTTGGGTATGTGGTCCCACAGCCATTTCCTCTCCATCATCCCAGTCTGGATACATGGCTACTATGTGATGGAGGAAGGCAGCTGGAAAAGGCAGTAGGCTGTCCTGGGAGGCTGTCGGCTTGGTTACCAAGACCAGTTTTCTGTTTACCTCTTTCAGCTGTGCTATTTGCAATGCAGAAGCCAGGACTTACTGGGGGAGGAGAGGAAAGGTGGTGCTGACATACTACATGTTGAGACAATCATATTATGTCAGCAGCACCAGGCATTTTCTGCCTGATCTTTATGGAACTGCATCTGTACGTGCTGTGCAGGTGAATTTAACATTGCACACCTTAACAACAGGAGTATGCCCAAATTGAGGCTACTGCTGTGGGATTCAGCTCAGAGACTCCAGACAGAGCTCTGTAGTCAAGAAACAGGCTTGTGGGCTGAGTGCTGTGTATGTGACTCTTCCATTTTCCATGATGGAATGATTGCTTGTCTGGTTTATGTACCTTTCATGCAGTTTAGCTGTTATGTTACTACTGCAGATATAAGGCAGCCAGCCTTTTGAAAATGAGTAACTGTGGACTGACTCATAAGCTTGATTTTAGGTAAGCATCTTTAATATGCAACCTGATTGTTCAAAACAGCAAAGAGAAGAGAAATACCAGAGGTTCTGTGCTCTTGGAAACAGGGCCCTGGTTTTAGGATCTGACTTGTCTTAAAACCTTGACCTTAAATGTATGTTGCTTCTACACTTGTGTGCTGGATGGGAGTTATATAGCCAAATACATTCTTTAAACAAGATAATGTTCAGAGGTGCCTATCAGATGAGAGTCCATCTGCTTTATTCAGTTCTCTATTTAATCGGGACATACTTAATATGAATGGTGCTTTATTAGGCTGTTTCCCAAGACACCAGACTAGCATAACAGTGTTAAATAGCAGTGACTTCTGCCTAATCAGGGCAGAAAGGTAATGTGTGTGCTTCTTCCCTCACAGGACCTGGTCTGCTCAAGCTCTGTGGAGGTGGCTAGGAAGGTGTTGATGACTCTAAGGACCTTCCTGGAAACAAATGAGGATGTCCTTGTCTGTGACCTCCTCCGGAGTCAGTTCCTACAGATTCTGCAGCAGCTGCTAGTAGAGAGCAGCTCAGCCTCCTTACAAGGTGACTCCCCTCTGTGACTTGGTCTTGCTGTAGGATCAGCTACCAGGGTAGATGGCTGAAGGGAGGCAGTCTGGGAGAAAGTGTTTTTGAACTGCTGATGTAGCTTCAGTGCTTATCTGCATGAGGAAATTTATGGACACAACTGTGGTGATTTAGTTTCCTTCTCCAGAGATTCTTGTTTCGAAGTGAGATACACTTTTTTTTCTGATTTAGGTTGTTCTGGCTTCAGACTGTGATTGTTAAGCCAAGGCAAGGTTTTCTTGTACTGTTGTAAGTGTTCAAATGGAGAGCTGTGCTGGTAAATCCCCCAGCTTGAACAGGGGCTCAACTGGTGACTGAAAGACATCCTCCTTTTTGCCTCTTCTCTGTTCAGAACAGCTTGGTGTGCCTGAGTACACTTGGTTCCCAGGGCACAGGGACCGGGAGCAGAGACTGTTCGAATCATTCATTATATTATATATATCCAAACAGGAACTGTGGTACCACCAGATCCCATAATTCTATTAAATCTCTTAAAGATTTAGCAGAGCTGTGACTGTGGGAAATCCCTCTGTTTTCCTTACTAGCCCTGGCTGTGGAGTTGGGACTGTTGTCCCATGGTGAATGGTGCTTTGCAAAGTGGTCTGTGAGCTTGAAGTGAAAAAGGGAGCAGCGCTAGGATGTCCTTGTCTCCCCTGGGACAGGGACCCAGCACAGCTCTTGCTTGTTCCTGAGGAGGCCATTGACACTTGTAACAGCCTT